GTTGAAAATTTATTTTTAACATTTATTTTTTATAACTTATTTTTATAATTTTGAAAATTTTGTATTTACAAATATGGATGAACTTACTAGGAAATTACCTGCTTTGAAATCTTGATTTTGAAAATGTGCTGTTTTGAGGCGCTGTTTTAAAATGTTGCTAAAAGTGTAGGGAGGGTCCTAGGATTTTTTCATAAAACAGATGGGCAAGGTCTGGTCTAACTACAAGTAGACCGCTTGCTGGGAATTCCTCGAATTGTCATTTATTTCGGTTGGCACGTCCTTGGGCTGGGCAAGGAGCAACGGCGGGTCTTTGTTTGGGTATTGGCTGAGACCTCAGCCTTTTCACCCACAAGTAGGGCACCAAATTCTTGTAAAAGACATGGGCTGCTTGACATAGATTCCATTAGATTCCCCGTGATTGACAGGTCGTTGAACTTGCCTTTCGGGTGTGCCGGCGTGATCGTCTTCATCATCCTCAATCTTGCTTGGTTCAGCTTAGGAAGTACTGGGGCCACAAAGAGCAGTTCCAGACATTGTCGGGGGAGGAGGCCTTCCAACTCTCGAGATCCTTGAGGCGCAGCACCCCGATGGACGCCAGCTACGGTGGCTACGGGAGCAGCTTGCCTGATAGGGTCGAGAGGCTTGCGCTCTCCGGCAGGGACTTCTTATGAGAGCTTCTGCATGGCATCCAGGGTGCACACCACAGGAAACCTGTGGACGGAACAATTATTGCCAATTTGATGTCAAACAAACCATCACAATGTACTGTATTGGAAAAACCGGGGGACACTACCAACCACGTGTCTTCCCAACTGGCAATATTTGTTCCATCCACGGACGTGCTCCATGAGATGCAAGTTTCAGTTAGCGCCGCCGTGCTGTGAATGCAGCTTCAAGAAAGCCCACGTAAATCGGGCAACCAGACAGGTGTCAACCGTTGCTCCTTCCGCCGTAAGATCTATAAGCAAGTGGCAGGGTTTGGTGAGGGGTCCACTGTTTTGTTTTTTGGAACTTTGGTCCGCTCCAGTCCTCGTCCGAATGGGCTCCCCGCTTCCCACACCCGAAAACCGTTTAGCGTGACAATTTCGGAGTAAGGACTTCAAAAAGCAGAAACCAAGCATATCTTTTCAGAATTTCTATTAGTTTTGTATTTGTGAAGTGCAGGTTTAATGTTGCCTTCAGTATTGGTCTAGGTCTAGTGTTGGTTTAGTGCTAGCGCATATTGTCTTCCTAATTCAACTGCAGTTGGGGTCGGCGCTGATGTAGATTTCCCAGATGTCAAGATGCTATGGGACCTGACGACTTGGTCTGAAGAATTGCATCACCGCCAGGTCCCCCCCCCGTGCGGCTTGGTAAGATATTGTTGGCACGTTCCGGCAAGCCTTGCGTTTTGAGGTCGACCAGGGTTCTCCCTAAGCAGGAGACGTCCCCCGCACACATTAGCTTGTCCTGATTGTTGGTTTTCGCATGTTTTCGCCAAGGCAACTGGATGGCGATGCAGCACGTTCTTCGACAGAAGTTCCAGGAGTTGTTTGCTGGCTTGCGTTGGATGCTTCGTCGCCATGTCTTGCATGTGGTGCAGGACGAGGAATTACGAGAGATGCTGGTGGCCACTGGGAGCCTGTTTCTTCTGGAGCACAACCCGGTAAGGGGTCGCAAGTGCCCCAGAAGCTGCCAATATGTGCAGCCCATTTGCGGTTAATGGCTGCTTTCTGCCTTCTTAGGAGATGCTATTTGGTCCAACAACAACGACGGTTCCGGGACGAATTGGCTGGGAATGCAGCTGATGCTCTTGCGCGATGAGCTGCAGGGTCAGGCGTTGTGGACAGGCTGGCTGCAGCAACTTGGCTGAGGTCTCGGCATGAATCTTGGCTCGGTGTGTGTGTGTGTGTGCCAAGTCCGTAGTAGTGGCAGTCCAACGAAGAGGCTGCTACGGATCACTGATATGGATTCCGGACGCGGAATCCACGTACCTGCTCTTATTTCTACAATCTTTGCAGTACGCTGTTGCTTCTCCACTTGGAGCATGTGATGTTGAAGCTGTTGCTACTCGTCTCGATCTCCGACCTCGACATCTTCTGCACCTCCGACCAAAAAGGGCCCCTATGTGTTGGTTTTCTTCGCTGTTGGGCCATTAACAGTTCAACGACGTTGTTTGACTTAGGGTCCCGTAGGAAAACTGGAAAAAGCCCGGTGCGACATTGACAAGCACTCGTGAGCTTATCCTCAGAACGAGGATTCACAGATATGCGTCTTTTTGATTTGAACAACCCAGCAAGTGTGCATCGGCCATAGACTTCCGCTCAACGGCTCTGGTCGTGATCCCCACCACGGTGGGTCAAAGTGACTTCTACCTCTGCATTTTTGCAGGACTTTCCCGCAGCTACAGGCTGGAACCCTCCCCGACGAATCATCCTTGACTGATCAGGCCCCTCTGAGGCGAGGTAGCCCTACCGGCCGAACCATCCTACATGCCTACAGGCATGGCTCCAAGTTTGCCTCTCGGTTTTCCAATTTTACAGGACCCCGTGTTGGGCGCGACAGGCTCCCGGAGAACTTCCCCGGTATCCAGTTTTTCCCTCCGGCATTCCCCCAGACTGTGACCATGCGAACCCTCCCGCCATGAAACATCATTTTTATACAACCCCGCACATCCCCGATGTAAGGACTTGACCACTCAGGCACCGTGACCGCATCCACTGCTGCATAACTTTTCTTTTCAGTGTTTCTTGTCTGAATCTTGTTTGACAGCCCTCTTGGTCCAAGACGGCCCATATTTTCAGCTGTGCATTGCTGGCCTTTCACCACACCGACGGCTCCAAAAGCCATGACGCGATCCGGCGGAGCTGGACCCTTGCCGCAGCGCACCGAGGCTCCCGTGATCCCTCCACTCCCTCGTCGTGATCTGGCACCGCCACCGGCGCCTTCCACGGCACCGTCTCTGGCTTCTTCCCCTTCAGCATGTTATGCTCCGGTCCCATCGGCATACGCCCCTGCTCCGAAACCATCGCCTACCCCTCTATGCCTTCAGGTCTCAGTTCGGTGGCACTACCTCAGACACCGCCTCCATCACGTACTTCCACTGCTACACAGACCACCTCGTCTCAGCCGCCTAGGGCACCTTTGAGAGGTATTTGGTGGCGGGCAAGCTGGGCAACAAGACCGACCTGGCGGGCAACTTGGACAAGAAGACCCAAGCCAACAAGGTCCTGGGCAACCTGGACAACAAGACCAAGGTCCACGAGGACCTGGCGGGCAAGCTGGGCAACAAGACCGACCTGGCGGACAAGGCCAACACCAAGGTCAACGAGGACCTGGCGGGCAAGCTGGGCAACAAGACCGACCTGGCGGACAAGGCCAACGAGGACCTGGCGGGCAACCTGGACGACAAGAAGACCACGGCCAACGAGGACCTGGCAAGCAACCTGCGCAAGACGACCAAGGCCAACGAGGACCTGGCGGGCAACCTGCACGACAAGAAGAGCAAGGCCAACGAGGACCTGGCGGGCAACCTGGACAACAAGAAGACCACGGCCAACGAGGACTTGGCGGGCAACCTGCGCGACAAGAAGACCAAGGCCAACGAGGACCTGGCGGGCAACCTGAGCAAGAAGACCAAGGCCAACGAGGAACTGGCGGGCAACCCGGACAACAAGACCGACCTGGCGGGCAACTTGGACAAGAAGACCAAAGCCAACGAGGACCTGGCGAGGACCTGGCGGGCAAGCTGGGCAACAAGACCGACCTGGCGGACAAGCTGGACGACAAGAAGACCAAGGCCAAAACCTGGACGACAAGAAGACCAAGGCCAACGAGGACCTGGCGGGCAACCTGCGCAAGAAGACCAAAGCCAATGAGGACCTGGCGGGCAACCTGGACGACAAGAAGGACCTGGCGAGCAACCTGCGCAAGAAGACCAAAGCTGGCGGGCAACCTGGACAAACAAGACCGACCTGGCGGGCAACCTGGAGAAGAAGACCACGGCCAACGAGGACCTGGCGGACAACCTGGACAACAAAATCAAGCTGGGCAACAAGACCGACCTGGCAGGCAACCTGGGCAAGAGTAAGGCCGACAAGGACCTGGCGGGCAACCTGGGCGAGAAGAGCAAGGCCAAGGAGGACCTGGCGGGCAAGCTTGGCAACAGACCGACCTTGGACAAGAAGACCAAAGCCAACGAGGACCTGGCGGGCAGCCTGGGCAACAAGACCAAGGCCAACGAGGACCTGGCGGGCAACCTGGACGACAAGAAGACCAAGGCCAACGAGGACCTGGCGGGCAACCTGCGCAAGAAGACCAAACCCAACGAGGACCTGGCGGGCAACCTGGACGACAAGAAGACCAAGGCCAACAAGGACCTGGCGAGCAGCCTGCGCAAGAATACCAAAGCCAACGAGGACCTGGCGGGCAACCTGGACGACAAGAAGACCAAGGCCAACAAGGACCTGGCGAGCAGCCTGCGCAAGAAGACCAAGGCCAACGAGGACCTGGCGGGCAACCTGGACAAACAAGACCGACCTGGCGGGCAACCTGGAGAAGAAGACCACGGCCAACCGAGGAGCTGGCGGGCAACCTGGACAAAAAGACCAAAGACCTGGCAGGCAACCTGGACAAGAAGATGAAGGACAATGAGGAGCTGGCGAGTAAGACGGTCGGAGTGGTGAACGTTAGGGGTGTTAACCCCACCATCCAGCAGCCTCGATGCTCTGGGCGTTGTCAAGCTCGCTCGACTGAATCCGGAAGCTGCCGTGAGGACTGCGTGAGAGACAGCGCCCATCACTGCCCTCCCCGTGCTGCTCTTCGGCATGTTCGCAGGATTACTTCATCCACGGGGACCGCAGCTACTGAAGGTCTGGGCCCTTTCGGTATTTTGATTTTCCCTATGTATTATTTGTGGTTCACCCTCGGCATCTCCAGATTGAGAAATAAGCGCCTGCCGCCGCAGACGTGTGTGTGTGTGCCAGCCCCGTTTCTAGAAAAAGTTCCTTGTCACGTTGGCGATGAGCATGGGGACTGCCTGGTCCGTAGTAGTGGCAGTCCAACGAAGAGGCTGCTACGGATCACTGATATGGATTCCGGACGCGGAATCCACGTACCTGCTCTTATTTCTACAATCTCTGCAGTACGCTGTTGCTTCTCCACTTGGAGCATGTGATGTTGAAGCTGTTGTTACTCGTCTCGATCTCCGACCTCGACATCTTCTGCACCTCCGACCAAAAAGGGGCCCTATGTGTTGGTTTTCTTCGCTGTTGGGCCATTAACAGTTCAACGACGTTGTTTGACTTAGGGTCCCGTAGGAAAACTGGAAAAAGCCCGGTGCGACATTGACAAGCACTCGTGAGCTTATCCTCAGAACGAGGATTCACAGATATGCGTTTTTTGATTTGAACAACCCAGCAAGTGTGTGTGGGCGCTTGGATTTGGAGGCAGCACGTGAACTTGTCCACCGGTGAACCTTTGGGTTCTGCCTGGCCTCAGCTGGTGCACAGCGCCACGAAGGCAACCCTGAGCTGGAACCTTGGCCAGGGGTGGGAGTGGGGATTGAGCTGCCAATGCCCTCAGCTGTCAGACTGGAAATCTGAGGACTGAAATGAGCTGAGTCTTGACGGCCACACCATTATGCAGCAGCGCCTTTGCGCCTGCCGATGCCAACATGTGAGCTTCCCCAAAACGTGTCCTCCTGCTTGTCAGTCAGACGCAAAGGCCAAGAGAAGGGACCGCGAGACTTTGGCAAGACGGTCAAAACGTTCAGTTGCCTTGAGACCAGATGCCATGTTCTGACGCTGGAGTGATCATGGAAGCCTGAATTTGAGCAGGCGCAGTCAATGATAGTTACAGCATCAAGCTATGAACTATCATTGCTACTTGAACGGATCACGTTTGCATAGGTTTGCCGTTGAACATGTCCTGAACAGCAGTGAACACACGCACCTGACGCTTCGAGATTGCATCTCGAACAAAGGCGAAACACTTTGGAACTTTAGCAGACTCTGAGTAGGCGCCTTTCTGGGTGGCGTGCCCTCACCTGGCTGTTTTGTCGTTGCTTCCGGAGCTCGGCCCAGTCCACCGGCAGAGGGCCACGTGCTTCGACTTGGCCGGGTACTGTTACGCTTGTACGGAGCACGACGGAGCATAGGCGGACCCCTCCAACACAAATCGGTGATGTCGTGCGATGACTGAATTGACCTGAATTGGTTGTTGGAGGCTTTGTTTTGTTGCAGCTTGTGTCGTCCGCAGTACTGCTCGAAAGAAGCCTTGACCATCTCGTTGATTTTAGCTGCCATGTCCTACGACCTTTCAGACCAGCTGCCCATGCAGTGCACACACTGTGGCTTTCAGTGTGCCAACCGGGCAGAGTCCTGGATCCACACCGAGGCGGACAAAGTGAAAGCGTTTGATCACGGGAGTCTTGAGCCATAAGCCATGACAAGTAATAAACATGTCGTGTCTCTGCCGTACCAAGCTCCCAGTATGTTGACCTTACTTGGTTTCGTAGCACGTGTGCCTGCTGTGAAATGACCGTGAGGCCCGAGTCTCCGCCCTTTCTTTGCATCCCTGCGCAGGAAACTGGACACACACGGTTCAGGGGAACAAGTCTTGCGGGAGGTGATGCTCAACAGCGAATTCAGATTGGCCTGTGTGGCCGCGGGCGCGCATTTGTGCTGTGTGGAAACCGCAAGTTTGACGCTTCTTTTTGCACGGTTGGTCCGTTTTGCCCGTCTTGCCTGCAGCTCCTGTGCAGTAAGGACGACCTTCAGCGCACGATTCTGGAAAGCCTGGCCTTGGGCGATGCAGCTTGGCACACTTGGCACTTTTGATCTTGGCTGTGGCTTTGAGCGTTGGCTGCCGAGGCGGCTTCGCTGGATCCAGATTTCATGACGGCTCTGCAGCTGTCTCTGGAGGAGCTTGGGACCTTGTGGCAAACATTGCTGGTCCCTGGCCGAGCAGCGATTGCGTCACTGCAGAGCCATGAGTTAGACAAGTCATATACGCAGGCATCGCTTGGCTTGTAAACTTGCAAATCCCCCCCTGACAATGCCGCCGGGCTCAATGCAAGCACCCTTTGTTTCAGTGTCTTCTAGTTCTTGAGTGTGGGGCGTTCCTGTTAGTTGCGTGGTAAGTTTGTTGGTTTCACAAGTCTTTAAGTTGCTGGGTTTTCACGCCTGCATGGCGCCCGATTGCTTAAGCGTGTTGTTTGGGTTGGGTTGATGCGCATGAACCGACTTCTTGTTGCATGAATTCATCAGCTGCCGAAGACTGTGTGTATCGATGCTGGTTGCTGGCATGGCGGGCAGGTGCCTATCATCTTTTGCTTTTGGTCCACCCTGGGCGGCCCAATTCCAGTGTTCAGGGTCAAAAAATGCGACGATTTCCAATCACAGGCTTTTGCCCAGATGTTTGTTGAAGGATCTTTGCCTTTCTGACCCTGGCTGTTTCGTTGCAGCGAATTCGGTATTCGACAGAATGCTCGTGTGACCCCGAAGCTACTAGCACCAAGGCTTTCCTCGGCCAAAGCGTCATTTTTGTGCCACGGTCAAAAGTCCTGGTGACTTGGGGTTGATATTGACGATTATCAATCCTTTAGTGAGGATGTTCAACAACTGTCACTTTTGGATCCCGAGGGGGTCATGAGGATCCCCCACACAAGGATTTTCGACACTGGCACGGTTGAAGGATGCTTCTCGTCCTGGCCACGATGACCACAGACCTCGGCCAATGACATGCAACAGCTGTGGACATCGTTGCAGCAGCCGTGCAGAGTCCTGGGCGCATACGGAGGAGTGAAGCTAACAGCTGACTGCATTCCATAGTATCAGAATAGACAGACATTGCATCCATCCCAAGCGCAGGGAGAAATACTGTGATAATTGGGTTCGGCAAACCCAGGGTCCCTCAAATTATTTAACTTCAAGTTGCATGAATAGGTTGTGTTTGCGCCCCAGGGTCCCTCAAAGTCTTAGCAATTTCTTGGTTTGCTATTGAAGGGTTTCTAAGAATTTGAGGGTTCCTAAGAAAAAACGGTTGCTAAGCCCTGGAAGGTTCGGCCGTTTACGTGGCGGGCGGCCGTGTGCACATGTCCGTTAGTGAGCCAGTTAGTGAACTGGATAGGGCCGGGCGCAGCGGGGGGCCGCAACCTTTGGACCATTATGGACCCCAAGGCTGTTGAACCAGCCACCGCACCACAAATGTCCAAAATACCCGGGCCCAAGCTGAAAAACCCTCAAATTCTTCAAAACCTTCAAATGCTTAAAAACACCACAGTTTCTTGCAAAACCTTAAACATCATAAAAGACCATCAATTTCTTAGCAACCCTCAATTTCATAGAAACGCTCGATTTCTTAACTACACTCGAATTCTTAAAAACCTGCACTTTTTGTAACAAGGACTCTGCAGCTTCCAGTGACGCAAATTATGATGGGGTTTCAGAATTTAGGGCTGGAGACGAGGGACCCTCAATTTCTCAAGTTAGTCACGATTTGAATTGTCGAACATAATTGTTAAAACTCCGGCTCCAGCCTTCAAATTCTTATGCAACGAATTCTTAAACAGTGGTTGGGTTGTAGTTTACTGGCAGCATTTGTCAGCAATGCTTCGAGTTCGTGCCTTTTGCAAGCGCATGTCAAACATGCTGTTTACGCCTCTGAAACCAAGCGAAGTGCCGCGTGAAAACATGCTGTAGACAAGTAGAACGACCGAGCTTCACATAAACTTTGCACAAGTTTGTGTCTCTGGCAGGAGACCGGACACAGCTCCTTCAGGGGCAGTGGTGGCAATGGTCAGGATGACAGATCTCCCAATCCAATGGCATGCGCTGAATGCGGACATCATTGCGCCAATCGTGCTGAGTCCTGGGTCCACACAGAGGCAGGGAGCCCGGGACCTTTGTCCCCTTTCAAGCCTGAGAAAAAAAACACTTCTGCGTATCTTCTCCTTATCTCCTCCATGCGTTCCTCGTATCAGACGGTCCAATGGTAGGATTAGATTGGCACCATCATGGCCTCCTTGGCCAATGCGCGTGTCCATGACGTGCCCGGCCCTCCGAGCTCCGAGGCGACCGGGCACGCGGAGTTCTGCTCCATACGAGGCATCGAGATGCTGGAGAAGCTCCACAAATCGCGCCACGAGATGACGAAGGAACTTGTGCCTCGGGCGACACGATCTTCGATTTTCGTGACTTCTGTGACTCAAGTAGCCTCAAGTAGCCTCAAGTAGCCTCAAGACACCCAAGCTTTTCCGGGACCGGCAGGGCTGTAAGGGAGTAGCTTCTGAAGTCGAGCCATGCTTCTTGTGGCTGGTCATGTTTCTTTTTTCCCTCCGCAAGCGCTCCTGGAGCCAGCGTGCGTTGAAACTCAGGGGCAGCTCGTTTCATTTGAGTTTGTTGCGGTCAGCCAGTGGGCACCCAGCAACCTGAAAGGGGGATTACCCTAGAGCCTGCGAATGCCCTGAAGACTGAGGAACGGCTAATTGGCAGACTCACACACGCGGACCACGCGGCGGGCTCGAGAGAGACTTGGTTCCAAACAATTTTGCCTGCCCCGCCGGTCACTCTCCTTGAGCAGCTAGAGTATCCATTCGGCTGACGCGGCGCGACCTTACGTTCAGAGGTCTTGGCGCTCTGCAGGTTGGCAACACCCGAGTGCTTTATCACCAGACGAGTCCGGCAGCTGCAGAGACGATTCTGAGGCCACGGGGTCGTTGTGCTGTGGGCCCCCAGCCAGATTCAAAGAAGGAGACTTGAGGTTGCTGTCCCAGTGGCTGGGCCATGCTGGTCCCGCGCAGAGCAAGAAATGTCTCTTGAGACAGCACAAACAGATACAAACTGTCTTAAATGTTAAATGTCAAGATGCATCATGAGTAGGGAGCATTTGCGGAGTGCGGAAGAGGGTACACGAGCTATCCAGAATTCGGAAGCGTGTCCTGGTCGTTCTTTTCCAATGAGCTCCTGTCAGACCAATGGCATCGCAATAGAAAAGCAACAGGGAACTGCAGTCACTGGTACTGCTGTTTCATTGTGTGCTGCCTAGTTGGGGGAGTATTTGATTTTTACGGGGTGGCTTCCAACGGGGGTGCCCTTTCTGTCCTTGTAAACCTGGATTGGTTAAACAAGCTGCGTAAGAAATGGTAAGACATGTGTATTTATTTCTGCCTGCGTGATGATTGGACATTTGGGATGGAACAGCTGTGGCTTTGAAAGGGAATGGAAATGGCAAAAGTAGTGGCCATAGCATTGGCAATTCTAAATAGCTTTAGTTTTTTTGGAGGGTGGGGAGGGACCTCTTCAGTCGGGATGGCCTTTGGACGGCGCCAAAAGTGGATTAAGGGATGTTGGTTGGCCAAATCTTGTGGTGATTTTGGGGTATAGAATTGACTGGGAATTGGCAGGGGACTGGGCATCTTTCATCGTGATGTGTTTGTTGAAATGGGCGACATGACGCAGGGGGAGGTGTTGCCACGCAGTGAGAGTATTTGATGTATTTACTTGCGCTGCGCACACCATGACCAACATGTTAGTGTTCCCGTCACAGTGAGCACTCTTTCAGCAGCATCGACTGTTTCTCAAATGGCAGAGTGAACGCATTTTGAGCTGCGTTGCTCCCTTGTTGTTTTTCACACGGCTGAGTTGAAGATTGGGGCTGGCAATGATGTTGCGAGTCGCCCACAACGCGGAGTGTCTTCAGCGAGCCACCGATGACCGATGGTTTTTGGGCACACTTCCTTGAAAGAAGGCTGATGCTTGAAGTTCAGCGCACAACTTCCGGGCAACTCATTCATGCGTTTCAACATGGCGCGCCTCTCTCCGAGCAATTCTTTCTCAACTTGTCCAACGGTTCCAAGAGCCTTCTCAATCCCGGCACTTGGTGCGTCTGAGTTTTCAAGAAATTCAAGCTCAGTTACGCATAGCCACCCTTCAGCAGTTGCTCAATTCTTAACGGTGTAACGGTACGTAACGGTGTAGACTCAAGAGGAGCATTTCAGCCGCCTGGTGGAGTGCATTCACTCGCATCATTACTCGTCGCCTCTATCGCAACTCAGCCAATTTCCTCACAGTCATCAAGTGCTTCCTTTTTTGGACATGCCTCATGCCGCCTGCATCACTCATCACAAGGCGCAGGAGCATTGTGAAGGCCTGTGGAAGAAGTTTGACTTGAAACCAATAAGCCAACTTGTTTGGTTTGGATTGCAAACAGCCGTTAGATCATGATGTCTTCCTCCGAGAAATGGCCTGCGAACGGAAGACGGAAGAAGCCTTGGCCAACCGTCGCCTGCCAGGTCCCAGAAAATGCTTGCCGGCAACTCTGGCCTCGCTGGTGGTGGCATCTACTTTGCTGAGACGAAGGAGACTGATCCAGCGCTTTAGATTGCCCTTGATACGGTAAGCTCTGAGTACGGTGAGTACTTGATACGATAAGCCCTCCTGATACGGCAACTAATAACTCCTCCCAATACCTAAACTATGCCCACAGACAAACGGGGCCAGTGGCTGTCAGTTGGTGTAATGAGCTGCGCAACTCTGGGCCCCACAAGGCCTGGAGTGGAAGGCTCCAGGTTAGCCTTCTGCGCCCCAGGAAGCCACCAACCAAAAGGCCCACCAACGTGGCGCCTTCCTCCGAGCCACGGTTCCTCAGCGCAATCCGTGTTGTGTATGTTGCGGCTGCTTGTCTTACCTTGATTTCATAGTCTTGCCCTCCGTGTTTCTTGTCTTTGATGTGCTTTGACCGCACGGATTTGATCCATTTAAATCATTAATTTGCGTCCGACCTGTGGACGGGCGAGCGCATGAGCGCACGCCTTGTAGCCTTGTTGCCTTGCCGAGGTGCATCTGGGCAGAGTCAAGGAGGTGAATCGCTCGGCCGAGTCCACCACCTTGAGCTCCTTGAAACGCGAGGGCTACGACTCCGTAAAGATCTTGGGCCGAGCCTCGGGCGCCGAATATGTGGTCTACAGCTGGGGCCAGGCCAGCCACGGATCCATGCACGGATTGCCACAGGTGGCCACAGATGGCCAAAGGTGGCAAATAAATATGTATATATATATATGTTTATGTAGACATATATTATACTGCTAGAACACAAGTCACTGTACAGATGCATCATACATCTAACACTGCCGCCCTTACATTTCGAGGCCTTGAGCCGTACATGTGTGCACGGACAAAACAAATGCTACAGCCGCGCTGACACACGACACAGGTTTTGTTAAAACCCTCCTGGCCCCGTGCCTAAATTGGGAAGCCGTTCTGAGGTCCATGTTCTTTTTTGGCTGAAGTGTCCCGATGGGTGCCATTTTGGCTCAAGACTTGAGTAGGGTTTTTGGTCTTGGTCGACTTGCATATACCTGTGTTCGATACGAGTGAGAGGAAACAGGTGCGATCGCGCTGCAGATCTCGAGCTTGTGTGGTTATTGTGGAACACCCTTACATATTGTACACTGGTTTGGCTGTATCGGTTTAGCCGTATATCTTCACCACGTGATTGAGTACCATTCAGCTGGAAGGTTGGTGGACAGCGTCCCACGGGACGTCATCTCGCCTTCTTGACAGGTTATCAGCCGTAAACAAGCTCTACGATGGGCAAGGAGGCAGCTGGTTCTTGCGGGTACAGGAACTGCAGAAGAACAATAACCTACACAGCGCAATGGAGTCTTCAGAGAGCCCAAGTACTGCAACTTTTGGGAACGACAGTTCAGCGGGCTCCAACGGACTGATGGCTCTTCCTGCAGTCATGGATATGGTTGCCGATTCACAGGGTGAATCCGGAAGCGGTGGTTCAGTGCTATTCAACGACGTATCCACGTCTGCAAGATCATGGAAACAAGTTGCTGTTCGTCAGGAGTCAAACCAGAAAGATTCTTCACCGAGGAGATCGTCATCTTCACCTGCGACCCCCAGGGCGTCGCAGAAGAGCGTGAGGTCGTCATCGAAAGGGGGAGATCCAAATCACCCACAAGTGCCGAGTTTCGCGCCATCATATGGAATCGGAGATCGGAGAATACCAAAGGACTCTAGATGAGATGTCGGCGGCAATGGCGAACCTTCATCAGGAAGATTATGGAAGTACCATCCGGATCCAGGAACTGGAGAGACGATGCGAGATTGCCAGCAAACAATCAGGGCATCTCGTGAGTCACCACCAACACCACATGGCAGAGGCCTGGCGTAAGTTTGAGGCAGAAGCTCAACAGATGCGCGAGGCTGAGATGAACGCATATCAATATGGGGAGAAGAAGGACATGGAGTCGAACGCTACTTCAGGGTTGGTCAACATCTCTTTCCGGCCAACCGGTCTGGACCCCAGTGCGTCGATGAATCGAACAACTTTCACGGCCTTCTCTCTGTGCTGTATTAGCTCAGAAGTCACACACGACATCGATGGGTATTTCTTGGCGTCGCTTCCTTCGCCTAATGCAGGCATTGCAAGTGGTACTTTTCCTGAAACCACCTCAGCAGCCTCCCACTCATACCAGGTAAAATCCGTCGGCGTAACATCCATAGGATCTGGTCCCGATACCTGCTCAGCTCCGTATCCATGACTAGTGATGACCGATGCAACCGCTTTCGTCCAATTTGGAGTCGATCTTGACCGCTCCTCAGATATGAACTTCCAGGCATATATCACCACCAGGCAACCATATTCTTTTTCAAGCTGAACACTCTGTCTCAAGACATCTTGGGATTTCTTGGAATCCATGAGGACAACCACTCCGTCGACCGGGTTCACGATTATCCTGACCCAATCGAGCTCAGCCAAATGTTTCCCATCCTGTGGGTTCCTGATCTTTGACACGTTCTTTCGCAATCCCCAATTGTACTGCCAATCAACTCCACCCCATCGGTTCCGAAGCATAGCCCGAATTCTCTTGGCTCCGGGCATCTGCAGTGTTTGCGCCTCGGCTGGTGCAGAAATCTCAGATTCTTTGCTTTTGGGTTCTTCTTTCTTCTTTTTGCCACCACCTTTCACCTCAGCTTTCTCTTCCTCAGTGTAGTACTTCCTCATCATTGCCCATTCGGCGGGAGTATATTCTGGAGGTCTAGTCGTCTTCATCAACCTGAAGCCATCCTTCCTGACGGGATATGATCTTCCGGCTTTGTCGATCTTGACCTCTTTGCCATCATCATTCACGTATGTGACACCATCCCCAGGTAGTCCTTCTGACACATGCGGAACGTCGGACTTGACAGCTCCTTCATCGTCCTTGGCATGTCCATCGCCTTTCCCTTTCGACGAGCTCGGTCCCTCGGTGCGACCCCCCAGATCTCCGACAGGGAATTCCGGACCTTCATCAAGCAGCAGACCAGCGATCTGATCGACCTCATCGTCAAGCAGTCGCTTCTCGTCACTCTGCAATAACTCGGGTTTGTAGTCCTCGTCCTCGTTAGGCGATCACGTGCATCTAGACCAATTGCATCGACAGACAGCTCATGCAATCCCTTCCAAGGTCTCGTTAGCAGCTTTGTACTTCTGCTGTATTGGGAATGTCAGAGGTGATTTGAGGATCATCCTCTCTGTCTGATGTGGCATTCTCAGCCGAGGCGGAATCTTTGCCTTCCTGATGTTCAGCTCTGCACCTGCGAACGCAGTGAGAGTCCAAGCCCTATACTTGTTTGCCCAATGCATCCCGGTACTCAGCACATAACCAGCAAATATTCCAGTCTCGCCCCCAACTCGAATTTCTCCCTCTTCTTCCCTCGTGCTTCGCTTGGCTTGAAGTCCACTAGCGCACCAAAAGGTATCTTTTCGCCCTTGAACTCTTCGCCATGCAGTCTCAACCAGGCGCTCGATCCATTGACCTTTTCGACGTTCATCAAATGGCATAGCGTGGTGATAGCCTGCACCCAATAGCACGTGGGAAGACCGGCATGCACCAGGCAAGCCGATGTCTGATCAATGATGAATTGATTTGTTCTTTCAGCGAGGGAATTGTTCTGTGGTTGTCCAGGCAAGGACAAGTCGTGATTCAGCTTCAGCTCGAGACAGGCATTGATCAGCTCTGGTCCATCATCCGAATACACCTGCTTGATCTGTCTCCTACCGCAGAAGTGCTTAATCGCTCTGACGACTCTCTCCTCGCGGTTGGATAAGCCATAATGAAACCAGTGTATATATCCCGAATGATGAGCGCATATCTGCCCTCCACTTCATGATCTCCCGACGCCGTCACGAAGTCGAACGTCACCAGGTCTCCGAATGTCTTATAACCTCTCTTTTGAAGGCTCCTGTTCGGGACCTGAAGTGTCTCATCTTCGCCTTGACACATGACTCACAGAAAGGGTTGCGGTATCTGTGGGTAAGCAAATGAGCAATGGAGTCGGCGTCCTTCTTGAGGACTCCAACTTTCCTCTTGATCGATGATCCTTCGTACACATCAACCTCAATACCAGCGTCTGGATCATCCTCATCAGCTTCTTCTTCATTAGCTTCAGCGTCACCATTGCGACATGGGTCCAGCCCTACGTCCTCTGGTGGTTCTTCAGCTACAGGAGGCGGATGTACCGGGCCGGCCCCTCCGGGCGGTCCGAAGTCGACTGATCCGTGATGATGTTTTCCCTCGTCCTCTGCGGATTCACCGGCAGCGGCGGGTATGTCATTTTCATCACCACTGTTCTGGTCCTGCGCGTCGTTCGTGACCAGTGCCAAAACCTCTGAGAAATGTTGCTTGAGGTCATCGATCGTGGGGCGATGCCTGTTACTCCGAAGCTTGCCATCGCTCACCAGGTACGGTATATCATCCTTGACCTGGAGATGTACGAAACCTTGCTTTGGCGTAACCATGAAAGGTAGCTTACTGAAAAACATACCCCATCTTCATGCATCTCCTCCCTATCGAAAGTACCGTGGGCGTCTCATCCAATACATGTGACGGTCTCGTCCAACTCGTCCACGACTATCTCAGCCACATCGGATGTGGATGTGGATCCGTTTGCAGCGTGGAACACGATCTCATCATCTCCTTGTACAATATCAACGCCCAGGCTCTTCGCCTTGGCTCGTCCGATGAGGTCATGTCCGCATCCAGTGTCCATCAACCATTTCGCCCTTCTGCTGAGACACGTTGACATTGCGAACACGTTCTTTTGCAGACCATGCTGTTTCTTCCAATCTATGACCGCTTCCTTGATCTCGTCTTTAACCCGATCATGCTCAAACACGATGGTGTTCTCTTTGGTCACCGGAAAGTAGTGTTTTCTATATACGTCGTCCACCACCTCTTCCAGCATTCTTGCTCTTATCAATGATCGTTGGACTTGATAGGCCGATAATTCTCGACGATCGCTGTCCTTGAGCTTCTTCTCGTCAATGTGCACGTACTCATAAGAACCGTTCTCATTGCCCTCATAGCCATACCACTCTTCCTTTCGTTCGTTCCCATTGCCTACTTTCATCTTCGAGATAGGTGATCTCCCCGTTCTCGTCGACGTCGAGGACTTCCTTGAACCATACCATCTTCTCGGGGATTTCGGATTCACCGGACCATCTCGACGACTCGCTCATGACATCGTCGTCGTCCCGTTCGTGGTAGACTGTCTCGGCTTCTTCCGGTTCCACATGATCAACGTCTTTCTTGAAGCTGACCTTTCCCGCAGGGACTGATTGCTTCAGGGCTATCGCAGGCGTGGCGATGGCCCTCTTCACAACTGCCGGTGCTGCGGCCTTGGGCGCAGCCTTCGTCTTGGGATGTGGTTTGTCTCCTGACGTTGCCGGAGCCGAGTCGTTCTTCTTGAAGAGCTCGTGCTTGAATTTGCAGGAACTGCCTTTCTCGCATTTTCCCTTTTGGAACGCGTAACACACTCCATCCTCCTTCTTTGGTGAGGATGATCTGGATTTGGATTTTCCTTTCCCTTTTCCTTCGGGCATATTCTCCAGCTTGTGCTCCGTCTTCTTACTGTGAGAAAATGTGCATTCATTCCCCTTCAAGCATCCCTTCTCTGCCTTGAAGTGATACCAGCATGGATACTCC